TTTTGTAGCTTCCTGTTGCCTGAAAGGAAACTTCTCAAACTCTTTCCGATTCTTCTGCAAACACCGTCTCACTCACACAGCTCGTCTTTTTTCACACACTCTCTCTTTCTTCCTTCTGCCTCTCCAGCTGCACTGACGAACAGCCCTGCAGCCACCAACGTGTGACTCACGGCGAACCCACAAACGCCAGCGTATGTGCACATCGCAACACAACAGACCTGCATTCCAGCCCGTCTGCGTCTTGTGAAGACGACACTGAGGGGTTTCCACATCTGATATCTGAACGAGCTTCAAACAGGTCGAAGCTGCTTTGATCTGCGGCGGCAACACACGAACCGACGCACTGCGACTTGGTCATCAGTCTTTGGGAGATTGTCATCTGAGCAGCTTGTTTAAGGACCATCTGTTGCTGGTGAGCCGCGGTTAAATACAACCAACGACTACTCTGTTGAGAAGAACTACTTTCTATTCAGTCCTCGTGATCGTGACAGAAGATGACGAATCTCCCTGAGGTGAAGGCTTTGTTTTTAGGTCACTCTTACACCTGGACTGGAGTTCGTTTGGTTCAAAAACAACATATTTTTGTGCATTTAGAGGCCACTCTTGCTCATCACAAACAAACTAAAAGGTTCAAACCATTCTGACTCACAGGTGATTCACTCATTGGACAGTTCTGGTGGCTGTCAGCTCACATCATGACAAGGGTTAATCCAGCACGTCTTCATTCATGTCACGGTCTCTGAACATCGGCCCGGGTGATGAAACTACAGCGATACATAGCAGCAATAGGCGCTGCATCAAAAGCAAGACGGAAATTATCCCATAGTTTCACTTACATGCATCAGATGCAATGAAAACACGACAAAAATGCAGCGTTTGGTTGCAGGAAGAACCTCAGAGGCTTTTAAATGCTAATTATACTCCCTGATAATGGAGGCAACTCTTTATTTTATGTGTGTATTTGTGTTCCATTGTTGTGTTAACATTATCTTGTGTAGCATGACAAACAGGCTAAAGGGTTTAAATTCAAAGCCAGGTTCTAAAATTCAGATTAAGCCTTTTTTCTACTGGTCTATACTAAAAAAAAGTTATAAAAACTGATATTGACTTAAATAAAACATGTCGTTGTGATTAATTCTCATTAAATGTGACACTACCTTAAGCAAATTTCTGGAGTTTCAAGAAAAAAAAAGAAAAGAAAACTTGCATAAAAACCTCAAAACACAGATTTAGACGAACAAAACTGAAAGCCTTGTGACCTGTTTAAACTTTGAATGAGGTTTTTACTGTAAAATCTGCCGGAGCTGCAGGTTCCTAAGATGGCTGGTGTTGGCAGTGGTCCAGCCAGCTTCCTGTTTAGTTCAATGGGGATTTTTAACGCAGTTTTCTACGAATTTCGTCAAATCCATTCGATGAATCACTACCAAAAGTCAGATACAATTAATATGGGTTTTTTCAAAGCTGTGGGACGAGTTAAGCGCCAAAAACTGTGTTGGAAGATTTAACGAGATAAGCCAGAGGAAGAGTAATAATCGAGCTTCAATGCTTAGTGACTGATACACTGAATTACAAAATCTGACAACAGTTCACAGTGATCCAATCAACCCTGGTGCTCACATCCTCACTTGAGTGAATGAACTAGAATAAAGCGAAGTCCATCCATCCGGCGATCTGGTTTCGTTTATGTTAAACAAAGACGACACGGAGAAACAAAAAAAACACCTTAACAGGCAGGTGAACATTAATCAGGTTGTAAACAGGAGAAAATAAGCGACGGAGGTGAACAAAGGGGCGACTTGTTTTCTTTTCTAACGTGGAACAAGCTGGAGACGTCGTCCCCAAAGGCCCAACCAGCATCCACACGGACTCTCAGCCTGCAGGACAAAAGTGTTGGTCTGCAGGTGTAACAGGATCGGTGCGTGAGCCGCTGAAGGTTAAGTGACTGAGAAACCAGAGTTTGTGGAAGCGTCCCAAGAGTCCCTCTGCGTCGGGAACAAGCGGTGAGTGTGTGTTACCTGTTTTAGCGGCGTGGTGGCTCTCGTCCAGCACCAGGCTGTTCATACATCTGAGCTCCCAGTCCTGGACGTCGGCGTTCCACAGAGCAGGAACCAGCACCGTGTACTGAGCCCTGCAGGGGGACATGTGGTGGAGAGGCAGGGGGAGAAGGTGTCAAAGAGGATAAAAAATACAGCAGCACAGCTCTATATTTAGATTTATGTTGCACCGGTTTACACAGCACGTCAAACACAACATGTCCTGTGAACAGAAAACAGTTTAACTGAGAAATTATCAAAGATTAAGAGATGGAAAAGGATCAATACATGAAAAATCAATCAGTCCCATCACCCCGACCTCCTCACAATGAGCTGATTTTCTTTTAGTCTAAAGCTTTAGTATATTTAATGAAATCATGCAAAGTTTTACCTTCATGCTATAAATATTTTCAGTTACAGGGTCTTAAAGTTAAAAGGAATGGGTTGAGTTTTTGAGATTTTCAGTTCTCTGAGGTTTTTGTTTTGAGCCTTATAGCTTCATAAATACAAGAGATAGACACCAAAATGTCAAAGTTTCCCCACAGAGTGAATCCTGTCTACAGATGGTTCTGGTAGGTTCTGGAGGTCAAACGGTCCTTCCATCGTCTAGAACCGGTTCTGACCAACCACCATCACACATGCTGATATGAGCCTGGACAGTTTACCCAGAATGCACTTTGTAAAGTTTTCTCTGGTGAATGATCAGAACCAGAACCACATCCAGGGTACCAATGATTGTTTCTATCACTCTATGTCATAGATATTAAACTGATCTGGAGTCTGACTGGTACCACTATGAGACATCCCATAATACTGACGCTACCAGCTGGTTGTGGAAAAAAAAGGTGAGAAATTGCCCAGGATTAGCCCTACATCACTTTAAATCTGTCCAAAATGACTCAAAATTTGGTCAGAATGACACAAAAAAAATGGTCAAAATGACTCAAAATTGTTGAATTTTTTTTTCAAAATTTTCCAAACTGACAAAAGTTTAGTCCACAATGACTCACAGATTGCCCCCAAAATCAAGAAAATGGCTAAAACCAATATAAAAGTATCCAAAATTACTTACAAATTCTCCAAAATGATTAAAAAACTGTTGAGGATGATTCACAGTTTCACCAAAATAAACCAAAATTTGTTTCAGCGAATCAAAAATCTGTCCAAACTTAGTCCAGAATTAAATGACACAAGAATTGTTTTTAATAGAATAAAATGGTGCTGAACAGAAACCAGGTCCAGTGTTTAGACTGAGACTCCTGGATGGATGTAGAACTGATCTGGTGTCAGGTTCTAGCAGAACCCAGATGTGTTCTTCCTCCTAAATGTCATGTGTCTATCTGCTGTACTGATGAAGTTCTGAGGCTCAGAAATGATGGAAAAAGTCCATTAAAGTGATCAATCTGGACCCTCCTCTGTGGACTTCAAGGACCTGGACCTCTGGAACATTCACAGTCTGAAGGTAGAACTCTGGTCAGTAGATGAAGGTTCTGCAGATACAGAACCAGATGTTCTGAGGAGGTTTGAGAGGAACTTTTTGGTTTGATTTAACGTGAACTGACTCATTTGTGTGATCTAGCAAAAGCCAGACACGCAACCACTCACACATTCCTCTAAATTAATTTCACTCAGGAATAATCTGTGTTTATGCATTTGGTTTGCCTCCACCTTTGACTAACACAGAGACCCGACAGCTCCATCGATCTTCATCTCGCTCTTAGAGAGAAACCAAATAAGTGAATATCTGTGGATGAGGTTAGATCTCAGGGCTGAGCTATCCGACTCCGAGCAGAATGACAAATGGTGGCGGACAGCGACGGATAGATGGAGCGCCTCGGAGAAAATGAAAATTGAGTGAACTTGAGGGAAGAAGACGAATGACGCGCAGGCAGAGTTTTGATCGGCCGGGGCCTCTGTCGGCTCGTTAAAGGTCCACAGAGGATTTCACTGATGTGACACCGAACTGATGTGATGGTAAATAAACTGATGTCATGATGATACATGGGGCAAAGCAGCTCCAGTTTCTGAAGTGCAGGCAACAGCTGGGTGACTTCCTGTTGGTTTTACACACTATTTTACCTCCTTAGGCCTCACATGACTCTGTCAGATATTACTTTTGTAGTTGATGTGAACTGAATTTAGCAGGTTGGATAAAGACCGCTGGTATTGTTTTCTCCACTGTAGGATTAACACAGGCTTATCTAATCCTAGATCATGATTACAGCATCACAGTCTCTAAACTTTTCCGCTTTCTGAATCTGTTTGTGCACCTTATTGTTCAACTTTACCACATAAACACTCTGAGAAATGTAAAATCTCAGCAGCATCAAAGCTAATGTTCTGAGTTTTCTACAACATTCAGAGACGTAGAACGATGTAAGTTTATGTGTCTTTCTGAGAAACTCCCAGGAAGCTTGTGTTAAGTTCCTCTGACAAACAGACTGTATCTGTCAAAGCTTTGATATGTGCTTTGTACAACTTAGGGGAAGGTTCCCGTTACAAGATGTTAAAACAGATAAAGCTGCGACTCCAACCATCCCAAACCAATTTTCTGTATCAGGTTGCTTCAGAAAAAGCCTCTTTAGAAAGAAAAAAAAAAAAGACATGAACTTTAAGTTAAGATGAGTAAACGGGGACTATAAAGGATCTTAATCGTGAATCATGTGAATTAGGACGAGCGACACAAACGGGTCAGAACCCCGGATTAAACCTCAGCTTGAATGTATTCGGGGAACTTTGAAGCCAGCGTCGTCTCGGTGAAGTAAACAAATGATGTGTCAACGCCTGCAGCTGAACGAGGGTGTCAATGTGTCAATGAGGATAAATGAATGAATGAAAGGAGGCACGGAGGAGGGAAAGGGGGAGCAGAAAAGAAAACGAGAACTCGGGGGAGGAGGGGACGGCCCGGGGAGGTTTATGGGAATCGACTATTGCAAAGGACGGCGTAAACAAAGGAGAAAGAGATTGGACTGGTGGAGGCCGCTGAGCAGAGTGTAGGAGGAGGTTTAGAGGGCGAGGCGGGACTGGGCACCGGAGATATGGACGCCGAGGGAGGCACAATGAAGAGTCGCTGCTGAAAGAAGAGCTAAACGAGTCTGAGGGCCGCTGAAGGTTGTGTGGCGGCTCCGAATGTCATCGTTTAGCATAAAAAAACTATTTAAGTCAGTGTTGTTTAAAGTTGAAATGTGATGTGCAAGTCTGTCCTTCCAAGTATAATCAAGTTTACGCAGATTATAAATCAATTAAGAGGAGACCTGGCAGGGCTGCAGGTCTTATTCCATAATAAAGACAAATCCAGTGCGCTGAATTGAATGACGTAAAATCATCACAAACGTCGTATCAAAGCCACATTCATCATTTCTGACATTAACGGCTGATGATGAATTAATTTGCAGTTTTTGTTCCTGATTTCTATAAAACATCCATAATTCATGTCTGAGTGAAAATGACGTTAGGTTCTTTTAGCGAGTGTGGAATGTAATTTAGAGGCGACTGTGGTAAAGTAGCTCTTACTAATGTAATTTAGAAGTTCATAATGTGTCTGAAAACGTGACAGCGCTTCTTTCGTAGGTACTGACAGTCGGTGGCATCGGTACGTGCAGGTAAAGCAACATTTTTGCAATAGCTACTGCTGAAATAAACTCATTCAGTTGGTTTATTTTTTACTATGAAACGCCATCGAGAAATGTAGAATTATACAGGCTAGGAATGTCCATGATTTATTGTTCATCAATGCATTGCACAGCAATTAATTTACCCAAATTTCAAAATATATTAACTAACGACAAAGAAGACAAATGACGTCCATGTCAGTAAATGTACCGTAGATCAGCTGTAGTACCTGGTTGTTCCACCAGGTGGAGCCTCGCACTGTTTAATCCTGTAGAGACCAGAGGAGGCGTCTACAGATTACAGTTCATGTTGGCAGCAGAGAGCATTGTGGGAGTTTAGCAGCAACGGGACCATGACAGAGACTCTGAGGAGGTTAAGGTGCACCGACCAGAACTTTTGTATCGAAGAAGTTTAACAGAACAGCGTTCACACGTCTGATTAGCTAAAGTAGCTGAAACATTTTTGCACCAAGTGTCACATGTTTGTTTTTTAAAACTAGCACATGAGCATTTTAACAATTAGAGACCTCAATTGACTATCAGTTAAGGACATTATTTGACGTTTGCATCCCTAGTACCTGCTACCAAATCCCCAACATATGGAGGTCAGCAGACTATTAATGTAGGAGAAAGAGGGCTGCTATCTGATTGGAACTTTGGGTAAACCAGGGCCAGTGAGAGGAAGAGAAGCAGTCCCAAAAGTCTCCAGCTGATCAGTTCTGACACCAGAAGTTGAGATGAGATCCAGGGAGAAGAGACAGCAGCGTCATGTCAGAAACAGACAGAAGCTGCTGCTGGACTGTTGACGTCGCACTGCTGGGAGTCATTGTTAGAGCCTATGAGTGAGCTGACAGCTGACTGACAGCTCGGTGTAGACGGACGGTCACATGAGATGGATGAGCCTCTCAACCAATCATTAATCAGAAAGGCCTCTGTGGCTGCATGACAACACCCATTTATACCATTCACAGTGAGCAAAAGAGCTGAGATCCTTAAAGAAAATGAAGAGAGGCTGAAGATCTCCCCTCCTTCGTTCCCCTCAGCTTCTCCCTCTGACCCTCCATTCATCTCCCCTCTTTCTTCAACAGTATCTTCCCAGTGTAAGGAGATCCTGCCCTGGGAGACAGCCGAGCCACTTAGTGTTGACTTCTGACCAAGCTTTCGTAATGATGCCAAGCAGGCAACAAGGACTTCTCAATGTGACGTGATGGCAGGCTGCCCGCTGAACACCAGAGCTAGAACAAAATGTGTCTGTCAGTGCTGCCCTTGATGCTGTATACATGTGCAAACAGCAGAGGAGGTTCACACATGCACCGAGCCGAGCTATTTCTGTTCCTGTAGCACAAAAAAACATCTGCGTAATTCAGAGCGTATGAAAGCCGGCTATAAACGTTGGAAATCAGGCATTAAGAAACTAAACGATGAGTGAAACAGTCGTGAAGCTGTTCTCTGCAATAATCCTGCATAACTTGTCCTTTATAATGCACTTTGCAAGTCATCGGTGCGTACCTAGCACGCCTTCTCCCCCTCTGGCTTGTGATTAAGTGCTTTATCACTGCCTGTGACACAGCTACGTTTATGGAAACTACTTGGCTGTGCAGCCTCCATTTGTCCAGGGTCGCCTCCACAGATCTCCGTCCAAGGTAAACAAACAGCAGGAGCTGTGCAACAATGAGAGGCACGCAGGAGGGTGAAATTTAAGGGAGCTTATCTATTAAACCAAATATGATAAACTGGATTTTAATAATCACTGTGCACCAGTCCATCTCTCACACAAACACCGGCTGTATACACAAACCCAGTGACCCTGCTGAGTTGCCATAACTACAGCTCCGTGTCAACAAAACACGTCCGTCAGCGTGCGACGCTTATATTCAACATAGTGAGACGGAGACGGAGGCTCGGACTGAAAGCAGCATGGGCCGCTATTGAAGAAACCAATTTACCAAAAAGGATGTTTACATCAAACACGTACAAAAACAACCACAGCACAACAATGACGCTCTACTTTTCCTGGAACGCTCGATGTCAAAACATGTCCAGCCCTGATGAGCCGATTCATATTCATGAGCTGCCTGCGGTTTCATTTAGGACTGAGCCTAAAAACGGAGCTCTGAGAACTCTGATGGACATTGTTCAGGGAGAAGCAGAGCTTTCAGGGCCTTCATGAGGGTGGTCCGGGACAATATCCACACATGTGGGGCTCAGACAACGTGTCTTATGTTTCTTTATCGTGAAGAAAAAGACGCGTGAGAACAAAAGTGATAGATGTCATTCAAATTTAACCGTAGCTGAGGTGTCCTGATCCAATCGAGGCACTTTTAAACCGATCGGTATCGACTTTACCCGGAGCCCGATCCTTTGTCTACGTCTGCTGTCACACAGGTGTGTAAAGGAGGAGCACAATCTGTGGCAGGACGAGGATGCAAATTATGGATCGTTTACTAAACTAGCAGCAGCAAGATCAGTCAATTATGGATTCATTGATGCATGTTTAACATAGTGTAAGTTTGTCCTGTTGTTATTTAAGTCAGCATGACTTTAGCCTGTTAGATGTGTCATTGGGATGTAGAACCACTGTCCTAATTGATCCCTGTTTGTATTAAACATGAGTTCTGGTCGGAGGTCCTGAGCCTCCTCAGAGTCTCTGTCATGGTCCCGTTGCTGCTAAACTCCCACAATGCTCTCTGCTGCCAACATGAGCTGTAGTCTGAGTGATGCCTCCTCTGGTCTCTACGTGATTAAACAGGAAGAGGCTCCACCTAGTGGAACAACCAGGTACTACAGCTGGTCTACGGTACGTTTACTGACATCATGTAGAGAATCCAGGTTTACTTCTTTACGTTGTGGAGCCACAGTAAACCTCGTCTCGCCCATTCTGGCTGCACCATTATTTTGCTACAGGGGAAGAAACGCTCTGACTGTATTTCTTTAAACCAATATCAATGGCCTTGAGCGGGGCTAAGTGAAGGAAACGGCTTCCGTGTTCCTACAAAACAGTGATTTTTCATTCTGAAAACACACAGCTAGTTTTGGTTGAACATCAACATGCTGTGAGATGAGGTATTAAAATGGATAAAGCATCTGCACGATTCAAGTACTTGGCAAAACTTGATTTTTTCGGTGTACTGGTGGCTACTCAGAGGTTCTTATTGTTGTTTCCCGTAACAGAGCGGACTTTGGGAATGCTAACACATAAATAGTGGAAGGCTCCAAGACAGTCAGGCATCCCAGGAAGTATCTTGGCAAATGGTATCCGACTGGGACTCGGTATCGGCAGACACTAGATATTAGACGACTTGGTTTGGATCAATGGCAATAAAATCTATCATAATAATAATAATTGGGCATCCCTAACTATAGCTGTGCATATCAGCACCAAAGGAACAAATGCAGATTCTTCCACAGAGGTGCACTGCATGGCCACCACCATCATAATAAGGACAACATTCATAAGACTGCACAAGGTGAAGCCTGACTTTGCTTACACATCCACAGGGACTCTCAGCAGCAGCGGTAAAACGGCTCCTTCATCATTCAGGTCCATCAGTCGAGGCTCCAGCAGCTCCATGATGGTCAGAGCAGTACGAAACACAGCCGACAGGCCTGAGGAGGAAGATTTCTGAAATGATTTCTTCACCAATAAAGCTCGACGTGTCAGGGAATAAACTTATTTGCCTTCTTGCCCAGAGTTACATGAGGAGACGGTTATTTCTCTCATATCTGTGCTGTAGGTGGAAGGATTCAGCTGGTTCACTTTGTGAAGTGGATTCTTCAAGTTTTGGCTTCACTTCAGACAAAGGAACAGTTCTTCCCACCAAACGTTTCACTCAGGCTGGAGCCAAACTACTCAGGGAAAACATCTAATTGGGATTTTTCTGACAGATATTGCGATTTCATTTGCGATATAACTTTGTAAGTCAGTGTGTGATCGATTTAAAACCTGTGATGGAGCGTTCCCACATGAGAAACCATCACAAGCAAAGGAAGGATGGGATGAACTTGTAAAATTACCAACATGACAATATACATAAAGTGTAATGACACTGGGCTGATTTCAGTTAAACCACTAAGTGTACATCGATCAGTCAGTCGATGGGATGCATAAACAGGCGCTCCAGTTAAATAAAGCATCACTCTTATTATTTATTATCTTATTCTAAACAGCAGGCTTTGCAATGGGCTAGTAGCTGTTTCAAATTGTGATTTGGATTTGATTAATTATTCAGAGTTACCTCAGAATGAACCGAATAAATGTTATGTTAATGCCTAAATCAATAAAAAGAGCAAAGACACAACTATCATCTTAGGCAGTAAATAGTTCACTAAATTAACGAACAATCTATTAAAACCATGAAAACTATCCCCCTGGAGTCATTCACAGCAAATCAACAATCCTTCTGCTCCATGTGCATGTGTGTTGGTGTGTTGGTACCGTGCAGGATGATGAGGTCCCAGACAGCCAGGACAGAGTCCCAGCAGGGCAGGGAAGTGAACAGAGTGAGGAGCCACGGCATCACAAAGTGGACTGATAAGACTCCCACTGACTCCTGCGGGGAAGAGGGACAAACAGCGAGCCAACAATGTGTTCAGCACTTGTTCCACTGCCAGATTCTGTCAAATAAACTTCCACTGGCTCCTAACCGAGGCATCCATCCGCTACATGACAATAAACATCTTTTCACTCAAAAGGCGTCTTTCTTGCGCCGGTTTTCACGGCTTTTCTGCTGCGTGGTGTTAAGAGGGGAGGGCGTCATGGGAGAATCTTCTACATGCGTCCGGTAGCTGTGATGAGCGCAGACGAGGGGATCGGCGCTGGTGAATTCAGCACAAGTACAACAATCTGTTTACGGCCGTATGTCTGCTCAACAGCTCCATTACAAAGGAAACGCTGACCTCTGATCTCTAATAGGATTTTCTGTACGGGGAAGAAACCATTGTGCCGACAATAAACCCCCATGGTGTGTGTGTGTGTGTGTGTGTGTGTGTGTGTGTGTGTGTGTGTGTGTGTTTTGGCTCTAAAAGGGCAGCTTCTTTCCTCCCGGACCTGCTGAGTCGACGTGAAATATAACAATCCCCTCAAAGACACTGGAGCAGCACAGACGGCAGCAGTGGATGCATTAGTGAGCGTACCAACTATCAGAATGAATATTTTAAAACGTGGCAGAACAAACTGGCCGAGATGATTGTGCAGAAGAAGGCTCACTGATGATCTAAAACCATGATTAGGAACATAACAAGGGCAGTTTGTGAAGCTGCTCGGCCACTCGACAAACATTTCTGATGTCTTAGGAGTCTACAGACAGACCAGCAGCTCTGTTCTCGAATCAGTTTTTCGCTTTCGTTCTCGGCCAGGACAACTGGTTCTGGAGTAGCACCGACGATTTGCTGGTGCAGAACCAAGAACCAGTTACTTCCGGGGCTCGTAGTGGGATTATCATGACCAACAGCATAAACTACAACTTGGTGGTTACCATTCTAAAACCACACAGCTAGCCTGCCTAAGATATACGGAATGAGGAAAACCACAGCTTCAATCTGGACGTAAAACCATTGAAAAACAAATGAGGATTTTTAATCATCTCATTTCTTTCAACCCTCTGAACCCCAAAACCCAGCAGCAGGTTTGTAAGACATGCTGTCTTTTAAAAATTACCAAACTGGCACCAATTATGAGCCAGAAACTGCAAAAACAGAACGAATCATCAGATTTTCAACTTTCAGCTCGACTATTTATTTACAACTTTCTGTTTGGTGGAAAAAAAGAACCAGAGTCTGAGCTTAAAATCCAGATATTTGTTTAAAATCACCTTTTCCTGCCTGTCTTATTAAGAATCTGCCAAAAATAAACCATTTGCATTCACCAGATTCTGTAAAAAGCAAAAAACTTCTGACTTCCTCAGCGTAACCGCCAAATTAAATTTCACATTTCATTTAAAAAGCAGCAACTACCACATCTTCTGTGAAACGCAGCGACTAGTTGTCGGAATAAAACAACGTTGGGATGCACTGGGGCCATAAAAGCAGGATATAAAAATCAGATGAACCTGTTGAAGTAGAAACTATAAAAACCAAAGAGTGAGTCTTGTGGAAAACAGACGTTATCCGTACTGGGAGAATCATCTGGACTGTGCATATGACCAGAGAATAGTTCTAGAGACTACTGCGGCTAGCAGAGCGTCTGAGGTTGTGCTAAGAAGAGAGGAGCAGATCTGTACATCTAGTGTTCATTGTGAAGCAGGGACGTCTAACAGTGACTAAGGTAAAGCTTTGAGCCCAGACGCTATAGATAATAATGAATAAAATGCCTGTACAAGCCTCTAAAATTGTAATTTCTCTACTGAAGCTCCCAAAACATAGAATAAACTTTAAACAATCCTGTAAAGACCTCTTAAATTCCAACTTTCACTACTTAAGATTACAACCTTAAACAAACCTACAAAGGCTGAATTCTTTACTTAAAGTCAAACTTCTCCACCTAGGATTGTAGAACATAGAAGAAACGTTAGACGACCCTGTAAAGAGCAACTGATTAATAAAGCTAAACCACTACCAAAGCTGTGTATTTGTTCTAATCAATGAGACGACGTTAAATGAGTCTCCGCCGTCAGCTGCTGCTTACTTCAGTGAATGTCACTAATGGTGAAGAGCATGAAGGGCCTCGCTGAACGCACTTACAGAACACAGCTGAATAACATCCACAGCTGTGGGTTTGTGTGCCCTGTGAAACCACTGGTTTCAGCGCCGCGCCGAGCCCGGAGCCACCGGGCTGAAAGGCAGAGGAGGCCCAGCCGATGACGGACACGTCACAGAGGCCTCTTCCTTTAGAGCAGCCACTCATCACTTGGCTATATCTGGCCTCAAACACTCACACACACATACTTCTATGATCTCTCCTGTCAGCGGGTTTTTAGGAGCGCTTTCCTTCCGAGACGAATGATTCCAGCACAAACACCAAGTTTTCAGCGTCCCGCTCAGAACCTGAACCACGTTACGAGCAAAGTGTGTTGTTTAGACTTAAAGCGTCGCGTTCTGCTTTTATTCTTCATACGAACCCAGAAATCTGGATTCAGACGGCGCCACTCACCATGTGCTGGGTGAGTCGAGGCTTCCTGTGTTTCAGGAACTGGTCGAACACCTTCACCTGATGCTGGACCCTGATCAGAACCAGGAGACACAACACAGCTCAGTCCGGCGCCACCACTCACAAAAACAACAGCAGAAGTTTAGAATTACACAGAAAAGTTGTTTGTTGGATCCAACTTTAAGATGCAACTGCTAACTGAGTGTTAAACGTGAATATTGACCTCGTTCATGTGAGCACAGGGACACGAAGAGGCCACGAAAGTCAAAAAACAAAACAAAGACACTTAACTGGTTCATCTAGTTTGTTGTAAATTTCCCCTGAGACGGGTCAATAAAGTTTATCTCATCCTGACTGAATGCTTGTTTATATTTGTGTTCATTATTTGACATTTGTTTTATTGAAAAGCACTTTGTCATTGTGTTTTCAAAAGATAGAAATAAGGTTCTTCTTCTTAATAATAATATTAATAACAACAACAACAATAATCTTTGTCTCAGTGGGGATTAAAATTAAGACTAAATGTTGAACCTCACATTATTCCAAAGCTGTGCTGCAACGTGTCCAATAAAGTTTCTCTTGACGAACTAGTAAGAATATATATATACATACAGAATTGTTCATATCATTGACTTCCCTTCATTTTGCAGGATGATAATAACACCTTTTTATTCATTTAGTGCTTTTCTTACGAAGTGCTTCACAAAAGGATTAAAAACAAGAATAAAATATCAAAAACAAAACAGTAAATCAGAAATGAAAATCTAAAATAAATTGAAATTGTGAAAGTTTCTGTAAAAGTAATATTTCAGGAGCAAATTTGTAAACTAATGACAGATTTAGTGAATCTCATCTCAGCAGGTCGATCAATCCAGACTCTGGGGGTCTAAACTGTAAAAGCACAACAGCCCTGAGTCACTATTCAGGCTCTGGGAAAACCCAGAAGGTCACAACCTGCTGGTCTGAGGAGACGCTGAGGCTCGTGCAGCGTTAGCGGGTCTTTAACATTGAGGGGTACATCTGACCCTTTCTATCCACGCTAAAGCCGGTCTTACTTGGTGAGGCTGAGGTCGAACAGCTCCGACAGATATTTGGGTTTATCCAACAGGGCTGTCAGGGCCCAGAAGGCTTCTTCTTCTCCCAACTGCATCAGCAGCACGGCGGCAATGTAGGACATCCCTGGAAACACACACGTCTTAAGCATGATGCAGAAATATTACTGTGCTTCCAGGAAAACGCTGCCACATAAAGTGTTTGATGCTGCATATTACAAACGTTTAAGGTAGAAAATCAGACTCATGTTTTAATAAAAGTGCTCGACAGCAGAAGCAGCGCAGTGAGCAACGTTGCAGAGCGTAACCTCAATATGTTTGGTGCAGCTGCTTATACATCACTGCGAAAAGCCAAAGAATGAGGGCATGTAAGTTTGTCAGATCCAAGCAATTCTAAAGTTTACAGCTTACAAGCTACATACACTGTAAGGCAGGAATATATCCCCAGAAACTGTCATAAAAAAGGGGCTAAAAGACTAAAGAAGCTTCATTTGACAGGATTTTAACACCTTGTGATGTGATATGGTGAAATAATTAATGACAATAAGGAAAAATGGAAGGTACAATACACAACATTTTGGCAACTACTGTCAAATATAAAGACTATTTCAGCCTTTTAAGGTGATTTCAGTCAATTTTCGGTTTATTGTGACACATTAAGTTCACTAAATTGTGACACTAAAGAGGATTCTTTCATGGTGAGAACACATGAGAACGTGTTTATAATCTTACATGTGGATGCAAACATTGGAATAAAACACAGAAAAAAGCAGCTGATAACTCAGATTTTCAACACGGCATCACAGCGGTAACAAATGCTTGAATTAACTTTTTAAAATCCATTTTGCATCTCATGTAAATCTAATTTACGTAACGACATACGTGTATCCTGACAGAAAGTGTGTACTGTGTGTTTTTGAGCAAAGCAGACAGTATTTCACGCCCACTCTTTGTGTTTATGGTCCTCTACTTCCATCAAGTGGCCACGCTACGTACTGCTGCTGCCTCCACTCTGGTGAAAGTGTGTTAAAACCCTGATGAGTGAAAACAAGCTCAGCAGGCAGCACAGTGGCAGTAATGATCACCTAAACATGACTGCTGAGAAGACAAACAAAGAGGCAGCGCTCTATCCTGTTTGAAACAACATGATTAGAAATGAATCCTGAAACCTCTGGCTGTTACCTTGGCTGTATCCGACCTGAGGGTTGTACTTTGCGTAGGCGATGAGGACCCTGAAGAGCTTCGCCTGACCCTCGATGGCCTCCGGACTGTCCCCCATTAGAGAGCGGTGGGTCGGGAAGGATCGCTCTGTGGAGGAGGACCAATTAAAATTTTCATTGACCTCTGACCTGATCAACACATAACTAAAACAAACCTGTTTCTCTGACTCCATCTTTTGTTCTGCTGTGTCTTTACTTCATTGTGTAGTTCATTCAGATTTGTGTTTCATATGTTGATGTTTAGAATTGTGCAGCGTTTTGGTTCAACTGTGTGAATAAAGTTAACTTCAGAGCTGTTGAGAGCACATGAACCAACCAATGGACCTGGAGGCTGCTGTAATAAACCCAAGACATGATGCGGTCCTGGTGGAAGTCCACAGTCCAAACAGGAAAGTGGTGTATGTGACACATGTAGGACTAAAAGCGAGCATTTAACTGTGTTTAAAACCTTCAGAAAGACGACCCTGAAGATGCCGCCGCCACAATATTCCCACTTTAAATGCATCGAGCATCTTCCCAGCAGAACAGCGTCCACACATTAAAGGTCTGACATCGTCTGGACTCACGCAGGTCGAGGGCGATCTGCCGGAACAGAGTGATGTCCTGAACCGAGCACCTGGCATCGGAGCAGCTGGACGGCTGCTGCTGGTTCAGGTCCAGGTCGTTCTGAGTGTCGCTCAGCGTGGCGATGGCGGACAAAATGCCGTATTCACTGACGCCCAGATCCACCAGAGGACCTCGGACCTCAGACAGGCAGGTCTGAGGGAGAAGGAGGACACGAGCTCTTGTTAGAAGATCAGTCTATGAAGCATGAAAGTGCTGTGAATGATGAACGACGTTGAAATGGAAGCTCAGCAGCCATCAGGACGAGTTAATGTGATCTAACATCACAGTTATGGGTGATGATGGAGGGAAATGAAACTCTGAAGCATCGTGTCACTGTGGAGCAGTTTGAAGATAAAACAGGACGTTGGTTCAAACACTGAACACAGCTAAACGGTGACACCTGCTGGGAAACCTCTGAAGCTGCATCTGTCTGGAGGGACTAAATCCAACACCGAGAACATACGAGGTCTTCAGCAGGTTTTACAGCTCAGTTGTGAATTAAAACTCATTGTTGTCATCATCGGCTCAATCTGCAGGTTAATCTCCTGGTTAACCAGCTCATAGGATCCTTTCATCTTTCCATCAGAACTCAACACAAATCCTAACGTTTGGATGGTTGCCTATAGAAAGTGACCAAACAGCCTCCTCACAATCAGCTGATCAGTGCGTTTAATAAAGCCTGGCACAGTTTTACCTTCATGTTTTGAATGTTTTCAGAGCTACAGACCATGTAGAAGCTTCAGATTTCTGTTTTTAACTCCTGAAAGTTTTAAAAGAGTCAGTACTAAAAACTTAAATAAAAGGAAACAGTTTAAAAAGCTTTTAGCTTCACGCCCAGTGACAGAAGGGATTTTCCTGCATCTCTGTTTCTCATGCAGTCATAGATCAGAGACTCTCTGGTTTTACTGTCCAGTGACGGATCGTGTTGACTGAAGTCACGGCTGGAGGATGTTCCAGAGCAGCATCGCTCACATGAGGAGGACGGAGGTTTGCTTTTTACCTGGTAGCTGAAGTCACTGATTTCTCTCAGACCGTCGATGCCGAGGAGACACTTCCACACTCGACCTCTCAGGCTCGGAGGAATCCCCATCCTGATGAATCGCTCCATCTGAAAACACAGCGAGAGGGCGGAGAACACGGTGACCCTGTGGGACGAGCATCAGCTGTGATCATTTCATCATCAGTGGCGGCGGCAGGTTGTGCGGCTCTCTGACCTGGCTCCTGCAGATGAAACTGGCTCCATTCCAGTAGCTGAGCAGCTCACAGAGCTCTGTAACCCTCCCCGAGCTGAGCTGAGGGAAGCTGACGGAGAAGACAACACGGTGAGCTCAGACTGATTCATCAGCACACATCATGGCTTTCTGGAAAAACCAACACGGAGCTTCAGCGACCAGCAGAGGACGGATCATCCCCACCTGACCTGCTCAGAGTCAGCTGATCCTGGATCTGCAGTAACTAATGAAGCCCCGCAGAGTTTTACCATCAAACTGTGAATATGTTCAGAGTTATGGGACCTGGAAATACGCAGAAGTGGAGTAAAATAAAATATAATAACTTCATCAGTCCAGCAGATAGACACATGACATTTAGGAGGAAGAACACATCTGGGTTCTGCTAGAACCTGACACCAGATCAGTTCTACATCCATCCAGGTGTCTCAGTCTGAACACTAAAAAAAAATGGACAAATTTTGAACCATTTTGAACCAACTGGAGTCATTTAGGACGACTTTTGTGTAATTTTGAGTCGCTATGAATGTTTTTCTTTCATTTTCAACAGTTTTTTACTAACTCTAGATCATCTTCATGTCTTTTTGAATATTTGTGAGTCATTCTGGAAAGATTTTGAGCAATTTGGGACCATTTTTGTGTCATTTCAGACGACTTTCATGTAATTTGACCAACATTGGATGAAAAATATATTCGAGTTCTGTTTAAAACTGACACCAGATCAGTTCTACATCCATCCAGGTGTCACAGTCTAAAGACTAAATTAGAAATATATATATACTTATTTATAGCTTTGGAGGAGTTCAAATCTTTTGTCTTTATCGGCCCGACGACCTGCAGTGTTTTTGTGCGAACGCAAACAGATGCAGATTCAGTGCAAACAGATAAAAACCACCTGGAAGCACAAAAAGACCGCGACTCGATGCCAAACAACCGTAAAGAGACTAAAACTGACTAAAAGTTAATGCAAGACGACCACGAAGTAAAACGCAGGTAAAACTACAGCTACCAAATAGAAACAGCTGCAAGAAGACGCAAAACCAATAAAAAATTGATGGAAGATGCTCGAAAAATGTGCAAAAACAGCTGCAAAGTCAATGAAAACTAAGAAAAACAACACGTAGAACACAAAAAAGCACCAATATTAGATTCAAAATGACCATAAAAGGATTAAAATGAACTAAAAGTGACACAGAACGACTACAAACGAACTAAAAAGACAGAAACTGATAAAAATAAGACGTAAATTCATCATAAAACAGCAGGTTCAAGGCAAGTCCTTAGTGCAGCTTTTCAGCCAATTTCTTCAACATATTGTAGATTTTTTTTTTTAAGGGTTTCTGGATGCACAAATCTTTTCTCTTCAAACTGAATTTAAAAGAGTTTGTTGACACTCATGTGTTCAGAAAAATGACCAAGTAGCTGCAGAGAAACACTGAAAATGAAGATTTGGTTGCAGAAATGAACTCATGGAAAATATTGAAGCTGCAGGAAAGTCCTGATTTATTGCAGTCATGTGGTAGAAAGCCTGGATCCCTTTAAATATTACAGATAGACACACTGTAGTGATGCCAGGATCAGAACACAGGAGCTGCTCGCTGTGTTCTGTCCTGTGCTGCATGTGTGACCAGTGAAATAACGACATTAAAGTGCTGGAAAATGACGCATTTGTCAGAAAATAAAACTTATATTCCAACTAATGAGTGAAATGCAGCTGTTCTGATTCATTAGTTCTGTTAAAAAGCAATATTTGCGGGTATTTCAGTCCATCCTGTAGCCAGGAACTAGTTTCTTCCAAACAACGGAGTGATACTGTTGGACTAACTTTAACCCTGTTCGCATCATCAGACGTCTGTTCTGCTAAAAACACCAGAAATCACATTTAAATGTTGCTGAAGTCACCGGAAACACCGACTAACGGAGCTTTTCTCTCATTAACGAACCGACTGAAGGACTAAAAGCGGCCCAGCGCGTCCACAAAGTGGCTGAACTTGAGCTAAACTGAAGCCGGCTGCTGCCGCTAAGCAGCCGCTCGAGCCGACGTGCTGACGGTACCCGGTCCGCACCTGTAGTCGTGACACCGGTGCTGAAGTTTGCGGTCTTTTCTTTTGGTCACAGCGAAGCCGAACTCGTCGAAGCGCAGGTTCTCGCTTCTCCGTCTGACGGTGGAGCTTCTCCGGCTGGAGGAGCTGCTGCTTCTCCGCCTCATGGCTGGAAGAGGAGCGCTGCTGTCCGGCGGTCGGTCGGTCGGTCGGTCGGTCCGCTGGACGGAGGCTACGGTCAACGGTCACTCTGGCCCCGCCCCCTTTGACACGTCACCGCCAACTGAAAATGGGCGGGACGAATCAGAGACGGAGCAAAGGAGAAGGCGGAAGGATTTGAATGTCAGGAAGCACAGTGGACATAGATCTGAATTAATCCGCGTGTTGTTTTTTAAAAACAGGTTTTTATAGACTTACTTTTCTGCAATGTCGTCTATTTTTTATCATCTAATTGATTTTTTACGTTATTTATATTATCGGTCATTTTATTCTCTTTTACCTTTTATTTATTTATTTACACAGAAATAATCTTTTCATATTAAACAGAGTGTGCAGTTAACCAGATGACTGCATGAAGGAAGCCGGAAAAAAAATACATCAATAAATGATGGAATAATGATGTTCAAAAACTGGAAAAACTGGGGGAAAAAATAACTGCAAAATACCTGAAAAATAAAAATAAAAATTACGATATTTTTCTCTAATTTAAATTTTACATTGACACATTGCAAAAGGTTGCTATTAATAAAAAATACAGAATTTTAAAGTAGATATTATTTACAGTTTTGGCCTGTTCTTCTCCAGCCAACATGTAAATTAATACTTTTCTGTGATTTTACTAGTTGTGACCTGCAATGTCACAAAACAGGAAAAATCAATAAAATAAAATTTAAATCTTATAAATCCTTTTTTCAGTAATAATGAGAAGTAAATGCAAAGAACTTTCTTTTTTTACAGTTTCCATGCAGTTAAAGAAATGTGTAATTTGACAGTTAAATGTCACAAAAGGACAAATTACTTTTATATATATTTTTTAAAAAAAGACAGATTTTTGAACATTATTTAAACTGCAAACTTTTTTTCAGTGATTTTACTTGATATTAGTGATAAAACAAAACATGGAAAGCCTGTAAAATGACAGTAAATTGTAACTGTTTTGGCAAAAGTTAGTCAGACACTGAGAGACGATGATTTATTAAAACACACGGGACACTTCAATGCTCTTTATTGTGGTGGTACAAAGGTTAAAGCCTCCATGGTTCCAGGCCTTTGGTCCAACATGGTCTCACAGTGATGAAGGCAGCATCCAATGCCAGCAGAGGATCTCTACAGTTACAGAAAAAGAACTTTTCTAACTTGATGCTTCTATACGAGAGCTTTATTTGCAGGATTGTGGGTTATTGTTGCGGTGATACAGATGCAGGACGACCTCTGCGGTAACAACAGCGTCACTCTGCAGCAGCCTGGTCGTTGCGGCGCGTCTCCACCTTGTAGACGGTCTGGTAGCCGTCGTCCCAGGCGTACAGCTGCTGGTCTCCAGGGTGGTAGTGGATGCTGCTGTGGCTGGTGTAGCGCTTTGGGAAGAACATCACCGGGCTCTCGTTGCTGCGAGAAAGAAGGCGTTTTAACTGATTAGAAAATGGAAACTGTGAGCACATGTGTGCAGCTGATGGAGGCGTCCAACCTGTGGATGGTGTCGTGGATGTCGTACAGACACTGGACGGTGGAGCGGCCTCCATACCGGGTGTTATAAACCACGTAGAGGGTTCCACAGATGAAGAAGGCTCCTTCAGCATCACGGCTTCTGCACTGAGTGTCCCACGTATATTCTACCGCCAGACTCACTGAGACAGACACACACACAACTAGAGTTACAGAGAACCAGCTGGTTCTGTGTCTGCAGAACCTTCATCCACTGACCACAGTTCTACCTTCAAATTGTGGTTTCTGTTCATCACCATTTTCTCCTATACCTGATTAAGTGTTGAGTCATTTTGAACAACTTGAAATCCTTTTGGACAATTATTGAGTCATTTTAAGTCGATTCTTTGTCATTTTAGACCCTTTTAACGTCCTTCTGAGCAAATTTTCAGTCGATTTGGATCATTTATGAGACATTTTCTTCAGTTTCTCAGTGTCATAAGACAGGTGGTTGATCAGAACAAGTTATTGTAAATGAAATGTTCCATTTTTACCCAGAAACACATTTCCGAGTCACTTTGGACGACTTGAACTCATTTCTATCAAATTCTGAGTATTTTTTCTGATCATTTTGAGTGCGTTTGTAATTGTTGTGTTTCATATTGGACAACTTTCATTTCATTTTTTTACCAAGTTGTGTAATTTTCAAGATTTTTTTTTTTATTTCACACAATTTTATGTGTGATTGTGGTTGGTCAGAACCAGTTCTAGACAATGGAAGGACCGTTTTACCTCCAGAACCTACCAGAACCATCTGTAGACAGGATTCACTCCTTTAACTCTAGTAAATGAATCTTAGCTGTGAAACGTAGAAACAACATTGATGGAACCAGTCTGCAGCGTTCAGAGCTTGTTTGAGAGTCTTTAGATTCTCCTCTGATGGTTCAGTTCTGGTTTGTTCTGGTTCTGTTCAGGGATGTGAAGAAAATCTCACATGTCACATTTCATTAGTGTCAAAATATTCCTGTGTTAGAAATGTAGATCCACACCTGTAACTCTGAGAATATTCACATGATGAAGGTAAAACTTTGCATCTTCAAAATCAATTCCATGATTAGTTTTTATTTATTAATTAGCTTCATGCAGAAGGACTTTCATACGGACCTCAAAGCTTCAACAGGAGCTGAAGTTCAGCTGGTTGCCTCCAGCTGTTCAGGATGATTTCCTCTAAGTTGATTAAACACTGTTAAATATGTGGTGTGGTGTTCAGCACCTTTGTCCAGTTTGGTGATGACCAGGTTCCCTCCGTACTCGGGGTCGGCGTGGATCACCCAGAGGCCGAGCTCGTCCACCGCCAGGTCCAGGTAGGTGTTTGGGTTCAGGCTGTAGACGGGAAGACGTCCGGCTCCTGGAAGGAGGGTGCTGTCCACCACGGTGCCGTTCACCAGGTCCACCTTCACGGCAAATCATCGGTCATGTTCAGCTCAGAGGGCTTTTTGTTTGAGTCAATCATCTGGTAGAAACAGAATCTGAAAGTATGCTAACGTAAGATTAATATATATACAGAGATTGTTCACTGAGGCCCATGTTTAGCAGGTAGCGCTCAGTCTGCTGTGTTAGCATGCTAGCACTTAGCCTTAATGTTTACATCAGTTTGGTTCTGTAATTTATGATAAAATATCATCTTCACTTTATCACTACATATGCTAGGCTGTTCTCTATAATTATTAAAATAAAAATTATAGTCAGATGAAACAGTATTTGACATCATATTTGTAGGTTTTAATCCCTGACGTGTAAATTACTGACGTAGAATCACACCATAAATACCATCTACCAGTTCAGATCTGTTCATATCCAGGTATAGTCTTTATGCCTTGTTCACTGTCTGATAAAACCTGTGTTTTGTCTTTATTTGGAGGCTAATTGTTCTTTTCTAATTCTTCTTCCAGCCTCATCTGCATCCAGCTGCTAAATGTCCCCGGTGAGGGATCAGTAAAGGTTCAACCAGCCTCTGTCCTACAACAGCATGATAGACTTCCTGAAACCGAGTCAGTGATTCTTTGTGCCTCCTGTATGAGATATATCAGCCAATCCTGGTATGACTTTAATAAGAATACTTGTCTTTGGAAACATCTTTTCTGATTAAACTGCAGGAAACACATTTGTTTCAGGAGAGAAACCAGCTTCACCGGCACTAAATGTTGTTTTCATTCGGCGGCATCAGTTAAACGCAGCTCAGAAAACTGGACACAGATCGCTGGAAGTTATCGGACTCTGGCCTGAAGCTGCAGCAGCTTTATGAAGTCGGACTGTCGCTGTTGCCTGGAAACCTTCAGCATCACCACACACTAAACCGGTTTACTTTTTACAAACACAAAGCAGATCAACAAAGAAACACCTTGATGGGAAACGAACATGGATTCAGAACGTTTTCTCAAAGATCATGAAGCTGCTGATTGTAGCTGCACATCCAACACCACAGTCATCCTGGAGACCACAAACACAACTTCCTTCAAATGAATCAACATTAGATTGAAATAAGTCTTTGGCTGCAGCTGGTGCACCAAGAGTTTCTGTGTATTTATTGATCTAAATCACGTCTGAGGGGATGTGCTGTAACTGGCCTGTACGTGCTCCGATCTGCCCGGAGCTCGACACGCCGGATCACAGACCCGCCCAGAGTGCATTTCTGCCGAACCCCGATGTGCACGATGACCGACAACCGTACGGTGAGGACCGACCATCGCTGCCTGCAGCTTTAATTTGATTTATTCTTTTTTTAAACTTGGACAATTCACTGTTATTTACAGACTCAAAGTACTGATAATATTTAGTGAAATGACAGAAAAAGATTATTTACAAAAAAAAAACAGGTAAGATATAGAATCTGACAGAATCTGTTTTTTTGTTTGTTTGTTTGTTTTTTGAACATTTCAAACAGTTCTGACTCCTCTGAAGGAGTTTCCAGCAGACTGTTCATTAGCAGCTGTTGTGTTGTTGAGCATCAGAGTTTGTTGTGTTGCTGCTGCTTGTGTTGTTCATAGTGTGTTGATGAATGAAGACATGAAGCTGAACATGAAACGGCTTCAACCAGGAGTTTATGATCCAACCTTGTTGTTGTTTCTACAAGTTTTTAACTCTGATATTTGGAACAATTTACTGTAATTTGACAGATTTAACTCGTTAAACAATATTTTTAAAGCATTAATTTTCATGTCAGCCCTAAAAAACAGGACAAACTAAATAATGTTCACATCAAGAATCTGTGTTTTTACTAAATAGTAATTAATTCTTTCACATAGTTTAAACCACAAATCCAGATATTAATGAACTGAAACATCAAAAACCAGGATATTACTGCAATAAACTGTCATGATGCTGGATATTATCGTACTAAAGGATTACAACCTGAATATTAACGTATAAAAGCACCAAAACCTTCCACATTAATGTATTAAGAAGCTGTAAGTCAAGTACCAACATGCTGGATGTGGATGTTTGTGGTTTCACTGCAGCTTTTCACAGCGTTTCTCTTCCTGGAA